TGATTCTATCTCAATAAAGTTGTCAGGCAGAACACCTGAAGTGAGCTTTAGTACCTTGCTTTACAGCTATTTCTTCAGAATAAGGAGACAAGTACATATGGAAAAGGGTGAGAATCACAATAGCTAAATTAGAATCCCAGACCTACATGGTCTTACTTAATCTCTTAATTTTTCTAAAGTGTATTCTACATTCTGGTGTTATTTAGCATAAAGGGTTCTTTGGGCAAATAAACTTCTAATTGTGGGGCATTTGAGCCATCCATATGCTCTGGTGTATGGTGAATGTGGAAAAGGAGTAAAGGGTATGTAGTTTTTGCCAAACCTGCTTACATGCTTCATGAAATTTTGTATCAAGGACCAAATCTTGGAATTAGTGTTTTAGTTCATTACACTTTGGGAAACATTACTTTAAACCAGCAATTCTCACAAAAGTGAAGCATTATCGCCATCACCTAGCAATTTGTGAGAAATTCAGATTCATAGGTGCTGCTCCGGACTATCTCAATTAGGCAGGTCCCAGCAATCTGTATTAAGAAACCGAGTAATTAAAATGCTCACTAAAGTTGGAGAATCACTACTCCAACCCTTTCCTCATCTTTAATGGAGGACTAGTGATGTCTACCTTCCGGGCAGGGCTATCATTAATGTAACTGCATAGGACACCCACAGTATCTAGTCTCACAGGACCAGATGGATTTGGTTTTTCATTGTGCTAGGGGACCCTGATTCACCTTGTGATGGTGTCATGGATAAGGTTGATCTCCAAACTAAATAGCGTAAGGTATTTTCACAACTTATTTCTTAAGAATTTATGAAATACGATTTCCAGTTGGTGTTTTGTTATTATTTCCTTGCACTTCCTTCTGATAGAAGTGCAGGAAAATGGCCAACAGCATGGTAGGAATAATGTGCTCCACAGCCTCCTGATCGCCACAGAATTGATGAATGGTTGGGTAAGGGCTTTGATCGGGGGCATATTGTAAATTACCATTTGTGAGTAACCTGGTCACTCACCTAACGTTAGCTTGTTCACGTATGTGTCAGAGCAAAGGACCAAACAGTGACTTGAATCCTTGCTTTCCAGAGAGCTTGATACACCATCAGCATCTTTTGGAAGTTTGTTAGAAATAGGAGTTGGAACCCCACTCTAGACCTTCTAAATGAACATTTGTCTTTGGGCCAAGTGATTAATGTGTATGCATTAAAGTGTAGAAAGCACTTCCTTAGCACACAGTCGTCTGCGGAGCTTAGGCTTCCTTCAAGATCCCCCAGGAGATCCTGCTTGCGGATGGGGGGGAAAGCAAGCAGACAAGGCAGGGCGTTGCGTCCTCCGCCACCTCATTAATCGGCCACTTCCTCTGGTGTGTCCTCTGTATTAGAGTTCCAGGTCTGGTTCTGGCAGAGTCGGGGTCGTTATGACTGTTTGTGGCTTAGAAAAATTGAGCTCACCACTCCTAGATATTGGTTTGGACTATGCCCTTAACAGATTGGAAAGTGCCCTAATGAAAGCCAGCAAGCTTCGTCATAACTGCCCACATGTTAGTTATTCCATTAAGTAATAGTTGAAAAGATGATTTTATTTAAAAACACTGGAGTCGGTTTTATTGTGAAGCAAATAAGGCTTATAACATTTTGGGGTGTTTTTCGTTTTGTTTTGCTTTGCCTTTTGGTGATTTGGGTGAAAGTTTACAGAACAAATTGGTTTTTCACTCAGCAGTTGACACACATTTTGCTTTGTGCCCTTGAATGATTGCAGTGCCCACAATGTAATAGCACTCTTCCCACTCCTGGCCTGTGTGTATTGTTTCCCTTTGCCCTTCCTGCCTTCTGAGCACGCTCTGCGCCAAGGCTGCCCTTTTGATATTCATAACATTGCTCTAAGAGTACATCCTGGCGTTATGGTTCACCTTCAAGGAGTATGTAGAACTTTGTCTCTGTGGACCGTGTGTGTCAGTTGACCTTGCTGTCCCCCTGAGACTGTTGTCATGAACTCTCGGGTATTCTGCCCAGAGTGAGTGCCCACATGTGTGTTGTCATTTGAGGAGCAGCCACCCCTATGCTGTTGTTTTTATATTTGAGACCCAGCTTATATGGACAGTCAGTCATTCACAAAAAAGGAGCCAGGTTTTAGGTCCATAGGGACACACAAGCCGTTTATGCACTACAGTGAACCCTCGTTTATCGCGGTTAATCGGTTCTAGACCCTACC